TCTATCTATCTATCTAGCTATCTATCAATCAATCTCTCTCACTCTCTATCAATATCTCTATGTCTTTCTTTATCTCTCTCTTTCCCTCTCCATCTCTCTCTCGCTCTCACTCTCTTGCGTTCTCTCTCTGCCACGCACACACTCTCTCTGTCTCTTTCTCTCTCCATCCTTCCTCTCCATCCCAACCGCCCCTCTCCATCCCTCTCTCATTCCCCTTCCTCTCTCTTTCTCTCTCTCCCCGTCTCCCCCTCCTCTCTCTCTCTCTCTCTCTCTCTCTCTCTCTCTGTCTCCCCCTCCTCTCTCTTTTTCTCTCTCTCTCTCCGTCTCCTCTCCTCTCTCTGTCTCTCTCTCTCTCTCTCTCTGCTCTCTCTCTTTCTCTCTCTCTCTCTCTCTCTCTCTCTCTTACTCATTTCCCCCCTCCCTCTCTCTCTCTCTCCTTCTCCCCCTCCTCTCTCTCTCTCTCCGTCTCCCCCTCCTCTCTCTCTCTCTCTCCGTCTCCCCCTCCTCTCTCTCTCTCTCTCTTTTCGTCTCCCTCCTCTCTCTCTCTCTCTCTATCTCTCTTACTCATTTCCCTCCTCCCTCTCTCTCTCTCTCCTTCTCCCCCTCATCTCTCTTTCTCTCTCTCCGTCTCCCCCTCCTTTCTCTCTCTCTCCGTCTCCCCCTCCTCTCTCTCTCTCTCGCTTTCTCTCTATCTTTCTCCGTCTCCCTTCCTCTCTCTCTCTCTCCGTCTCCCCTCCTCTCTCTCTCTCTTTTCGTCTCCCCTCCTCTCTCTCTCTCTCTTTCTCTCTCTTACTCATTTCCCTCCTCCCTCTCTCCCCCTCTCCTTCTCCCCCTCCTCCATACGCCTCTCTTACCTAGCTTCACAAAATTGCGGCTGAACTGGAACTGTCCGTCGAATCCGCGGTTCTCGTGTCGCGGCGACCACGACGTCTCGAACACCGCCACCAGGCTCTCCCGCGACGAGAACAGCTCCACCTGGTGTTTCTCGCCGCAAATTGGAGCGCCACCTATGAGGTTGACGACGTGGCCGTCGACGAGGCGCGGCGCGGCGCCGTCGTACACCTTCATCCAGTCGTACGGACAGCTGCCGGCAGAGGGAGCGGCGAGCGAGAGATGGTCAGGCGAAATAGAAGGCGCTGCTGCGATTCACGTTTTTTGTTTGGCCGTGTCTATGCGGTTACCAGACGCCCAGCTTCAAAGGCTACGCGTCCGGTCATATATTTCTTATGTGAACCCAACTATATTTTCTCAGTGAAAAACAATAAACAATAAGTTTTTACCATAATATTACTTACCTTTAGGTATTTTATAAAAAAAAAAGTTTTTGTAATTTTTGAAGCAATAGTAAATCCAGTAAAATCAACGATTTGAAAGGGGCGTGGTTTAATCGTGATGTGGAGTTGGGAATCTGTGCTGAGCTTTGTAATGGATGACCGGACGCGTAGCCACTGCGTTTTTGTTTGCCGAAAGCGTTTTTATTGGGTCGCGGAATACAATGAGAAATATGTAGATGGACGCAATAGACAAACTATCACTGAGAATCTGAGAAGCTGGACTTCTACATGTTTGATATGTTATTTCTATTGGGATTACGCATACGCACGCACGCACGCACGCACGCACGCACGCTCGCACGCACCAGCACGCCGCACGCA